TTTTTTTTTGGAACTTGTAGTACTTTTCATTTTACCTCTGTGAACCTATTTTGGCTTTGAACAAAGGTAACCGCCTTCAGCAAGTTATATTTCCTCAGCTAGCTAAAATGAAACCAGTCAGAGACACAAATATTTATGATACACAATACATAACCAAAGTCATTGTCTGCTTTTATTACCTTATTTTTGTTGTCACTCTGAAGTCTCCCACATCAACAGCACAAGAGAATTAAGCAGTGAAGCACTGAATTATTTTTAAATTAGATTCCCAAAACGAGAATGTTGAAGTCATACTTAGAGGAAGATAAAATGCTCTTTTTCTGGTCACTTTGCTTGCACGTCACCTTGCTTCTCAATAACTCATTCGGTTTGTTGCTCAAGAATCTGTCAAGCAGAAGTAGGTGAGAACAGAGACCCCTGCCTCTTTGCATGTGAGCACCCCTCAACAAACACCCAGCAGGAATAGTTTGGTAACAAAGGGAGCATCTGGTGCAGAAAACATTGGAGACAGCAAGACTGAGAAGAAAGCTCAGGCTAACTTATGTTTTCTCATCTGTGATCTGTTAAATCTCAGAAACAGGCTCACTTGCCCATACAGTGAAATACCAGAGAACAGCGGACAATCATGTCATAATTAGATCAGACACAAGGCGAGAAAGAATATCTCTGTTGAAGTTATTTCTGTTATTATCTGCATGCCCCAATTCCTGTTTCCCTCTTACCTCTTTTCCTGGAGAATCATAAATTCTGAAAATTCATTTCCCAACACTAGTGATAATCATTAGGTTATATAGGAGAGAAGACAACTGGAGCTATTATATCATCATTCTTCATCTTTATACCAGTTAAGGTTTAATGCCTGCTGGCAACTGAGTACCACACAGCCACTCACTAACTCACTCCCCCGAGCAGGATGGCAGAGAGAATCAGAGAAGTAAAAGTGAGAAAACTTGTGGGTTGAGATAAAAACAGTTTAATAGGGAAAGTAAAAGACACAAACACACAAGCAAAGCAAGGAATTCAGGCAAGCAGGCGGCTTAGTCATTTCCAGGAAAGCCAGGCTCCATTGCACATAATCATGACTTGGGAAGACAAACACCATTACAGAATCACTGAGGTTGCAAAAGGCCTCCAATATTATCAAGTGCAACCTTTGACTAAATACCACCATACCCATGAAACCAAACAGCTGAGTGTAATCACTCCAAACACCCCTCCTTCCTTTTCCCCAAGCCTCATGTGCTGAGCATGACTCCAAATGGTCTGGGATATCCCTTGGGTCAGTTGGGGTCACCCGTCCAGGCTGTGCCCCCTCCCAACTCCCTGTGTACCCCCAATCTCCTCACTGGTGGGGTAGGGTGAGGAACAGAAATGGCCTTGATGCTGTGTGAGTGTTGCCCAGCAATAGCTAAAACATCCCTGTGTTATCAACACTGCTTTCAGCACAAATCCAAAACACAACCCCAGAGCAGCTACTGTGAAGAAATTAACTATGCCCCAGCCAAAACCAGCATAATACCATATTTTTTCATGGTCAATTATTTAAAGAAGGCAAAAAACCACAAATCAAAACCAAAATAGGTTCACAGAGGTAAAATGAAAAGTACTACAAGTTCCAAAAAAAAAACTTTATAATGAGCAATTAAAAAGAAGGGTAAGTTAACTAGTGAAGAGATGAATAAAAGATGATACAATATGACATAAAATATAATGAATGGAATGAGAGAGGTCAGCCAGGTGCACTTGTACAGCTCTTCAGTGTTTTCAAATATTTCATATCACACAATGATCTCAATGATACAAGAGAATTTATTTTAAATTGGACAACGTGACATACAGAACGAGCCTGCAGAAGTTACTGCAATAATATTTGAGTTATATCCAAAAAATCCAGAATTTTATTTTATTTGTGGATGACCAGTATTGGTTTACCTTTCACTGTGGAGGCACAGAGAGATATCCACAGCAGTTCTCAATTACCATCAGCCAGTTATGGCTCTGGTATTGTCATGGTACAGACAGGGTGGGAGCGCACATGAAAACTTCTACAGAAGTGAACCAGCAAAGAATGAAACATCAAAGCTTTTACACATAGACACTGTGAAAGAAAAGTTATTTTACCACTATCATCACAACAGGAAAGCAGGAAAAAATGCAGCACAGATTTACAAGGTAAAATCGGAGCCCACACTCTTCATCCCACTTTCACTATCTATTCTCATTTAATCCTTATGAATAAGAAATTCACTTGAAAGGGGGGGTTTCTATGCTTCATTACTCTGTTCTCTCTGAAGAGGCATAACCAAAGCCATAAGGGAAGCA